TCCCAGAGCTGTGGGTGGCGGGACTGGGTGGAGAAGGAAATCCAGATGTCTTCTCCTGACCACCCTGTGGCTGGGCTCCCTCCCCAGGCGGCAGGCCTCCACCCCCGGCACCCTCCTGACTCGGTTCTACGGTTGATGCTACAGATGCCCTGCAGCCCTCTCTGGCCGGGCTGAGCTCCTCCACTTGTTCCTTGCATGTGCCTTTCCTGTCCTGGCTGCTGCCCAGGCCTCAGGGCTGCTTGTAGGAGGACCCGGGGAGCCAGGCAGACCAGCCCGGCACAAACAGTTCTGTCTCCAGACACAGCGTGGCCCCACCCGAGAGGGGCAAGATAGTCTGGCTCGGGGTCTGGGCAGCAAGCAGGCTGCTTTTCCAGCCATGGGCTCAGGCCCATCTGTGGGCAGCCAGTGGGCATCTTGGAGAAGGGGTCTGGGGCCACCTCATCTTCCCGTATTCTCCAGGAGCATCTGGTTGTGATTAGCGGCAGAGAAGTGAGAGGGGACCGGCAAGGGTCCAGCGGGTGCCAGCAGCCAAGAATGACTTAATTGGATAAATGTCTAATGACAAACCAGAGCCCGGTCTGGGCAGCAAGCAGGCTGCTTTTCCAGCCATGGGCTCAGGCCCATCTGTGGGCAGCCAGTGGGCATCTTGGAGAAGGGGTCTGGGGCCACCTCATCTTCCCGTATTCTCCAGGAGCATCTGGTTGTGATTAGCGGCAGAGAAGTGAGAGGGGACCGGCAAGGGTCCAGCGGGTGCCAGCAGCCAAGAATGACTTAATTGGATAAAATGTCTAATGACAAACCAGAGCCCCGCAGCAGAGGCCTGGCCCCGGCCCCAGGCCTGATCCTGGCAAGCCTTGCCTCAGTCTCTGTCCTTGTTGGTGTCCACAGGCTACCCCCAGCATTGTGTCCTCAATGCAGTGATTGAGCCCCGACTGTCTGCAAGGCACTCTCTGTACTCTAAGGTCCTGGGGGCACTCAAGTGTCCTAGGAGGATAGGCACAGGGTTACATCCCTGGGTGCTCTGGGAGAAGGAGCCTTGCCCAGGAGCTCTGGGGAGTCGGGCAGAGGAGGCAGAGGTTGAGAAGCACATGTGGTACAGAGTGGGCCCAAAATTGATGAAGGCCACAGGCAAGGACTATCAGGCCCATCTGTACAGTGATCTGTATTACATATGCTTCCGCTCTAGTTGTGACAATTGGGATGATGAACTAAGCCACAGCTTTGGGGGCACAAATCATTCTGAAATGGAAAAGGATTTTTGTATCTTTTAAAATTAATAGGGCCGAGGCCAGCAGGTGATGTAGTGGTTACATTGCTGGAATCCCACATGACCGACCACAGTTCGCATCCTGGACCCGGTGGCCTGAAACTCACGCAGGGCGCATGTGTGTGAGTGCTCAAAATCCTGAGAGGAAAATGGAGAATAAGGGATTGTAGCATGGCCATCCCTCCTTAGGGGTGATTTCTCCTTTTTGTCTCTCTGTCATTCTCTCTGTCTCTCCAGCAAGCATGCCCTATAGCAAAAATCTCTCTCTCAAAAATAAATAAATAGATAACTAACTTACTAACTAACTAACTAACTAACTAACTAACTAACTAAGGGGCCAGCAGGAGGTGTGGTGGGTGAGGTGCTGGAGTCCCACATGGCCGACTGTAGTTCAAGTCCCAGCCCTGGTGGTTGCTTTCTCACTTTCCCTCTCTCTGTTTCTCTCTGGTCAGATTAAAAAATAACATTAATAAATAAAATAAAATAATTCTTTGAAAAAAATAAAATAAAATTAGTAGGGACACAGGTGGCATGGTGGTTAAGGCAGGCACTGGATTCCACGTGGCTAATTCCACAGTTCAAGTCCTAGACCAGGCAGGTGTGCATGAGTGCCCAAACTCCCAAGAAGAGAATGAAAGAGAAGGGATTAGAGCATGTTCATCACACCTGGGGATGTCTCTCTCCAGTGAACACATGTGCTTTGTGGAAAAAAAAAATCTAAAAAGAAAGCTAATAATAATTTAACAACCTAGAGGGAACTGGAGAGAACATGGAGTCTAGGAATGGCCACTTTCCAGGCCTGTGCCGGGGCAGACATTGCTAA